GGCCCCCCCCCCCCCCCGGCATCTGATCGTGCCGGGGAGCAACTGCGCAGCGGTTCGGGGGATCTGTCTGATCCCGCCGCCGCATATCTATTTTGCTGCGGCTCAGAAAAGTCGCGCTTTGGCCATGCTTCCCCCCCCCCGTGTGACCGGGGCCTTAATAACAGCTGCTGCCAAGAAGAAAAGAGAAAAAATGTAACAAATCAAGAAATTAGTAGAAAAAATCCAAAGATTTTAGCAAGAACACCAAAAAATCCCAATAAAGTTATATTAGCAAAAATCAGACAATTAAAAATCAATTAGATATGTCAGAAATGGAAGACGTACAGAAAAAAAACTGAATTTTTAAAAACAAATGCATTTTGAACATGAAAATAAACCCGGTAGATATTTGGCATCTTGTTTTAGGAAGGAGAAAGAAAAAAAAAGTAATAACATGCATAAAGAAAGGAGATCAAGTTACTTATGCAGAGCAAGAAATACAAGAACAATTTATTAATGTTCTTTCAGGATTGTACTAAAAGAAGTCTGTCTCAGAAAATAAAATAAGAGAATATTTAAAAGATATTCTGATCATAAAGTTCACACCAGAACACAGAAAAATCCTAACTCAAACAACAACAACACAAGAAGTTTCCCAGACAATAAAAAATGTGAAAAAGGCTAAAGCACCAGTCCTGGACAGCCTAACAGCAATGTATTATAAACATTTTGAAGAAGTTTTAATGATACCATTACAAAAAGTTATGAATGAAATAAAAGATGGAAAGACAATACCTACGACATGGCCAGAGGTGTATATAATGCTAGTATGTAAAGAAGGCAGTGATTCAAGGTTATTACAATCATATAGACCTATCTCTCTACTGAATGTAGATTATAAGATTTTCGCCACAATAATGGCAGAGAGATTAAGAAAGTGCATACCAAATTTAATACACACTGATCAAATAGGCTTTGTACCAAAGAAGTACATGAAAGATAATATTCAATTTATAATTGATGCAACTGAATGTGTGCATAAGAAAAAAAGAAAATAAAGCAGTGTTTTTATTTTTGGATGCAGAGAAAATATTTGACAACATAACATCACCTTTTTTATTGAATGTACTCCAGAATAAGGGCTGTGGGCCGGAATTCTGGAACTGGATGCAAACTATGTACTCGAACCAACAGGCAAAGATTTTAATAAATGGAAAATTAACAGAAGCAATTTCGATCAAAAAAGAAACACGCCAAGGCTGGGGAAGTGGACTTATGCTGTGAATAAAACTTTTTTGGTCTTAAAGGTGCCACTGGACTCAAACTTTGTTCTGCTGCTTCAGACCAACACGGCTACCCCACCTGAATCAAATCAAAAATACTTCTTGAGGTCATCAGTGAGTGC